ATCCATAATATATCAAAATGAAGATAGAAAAGTGTTGAACAAGATTATAGCTATTTGGAAGCCCAATGGTTGCCCGAGATGGCCAAAAAATAGCCTGAAAGGTGACTGGTCCACTGGAAAACTGGAAAACACACCGGAAACTGGGTAGACTTTAAACGTTCATAACGTTTTCAATACTCAAGGAAATCGAGTGATTCAAAAATGAAAATCATACTTCTCAACAAGATGAAGAGAATGGTACCTTTTTTCGATAGCTAACTCACAGTGTTTTGGCCAGAAAATGGCTCGAAAGTGGCTAACTCGATAAGACCAAGACAGCCACTTTCGAACCGTTTTCCAACAAAACCACGACTAGTTAGCTATTGAAAATCTACCATTCTCCTTGTCTCATAGAGAAGTATGATTTTCGGTTTTGAATCACTCGATTTTGTTGAGTATTGAAGAAGTTATGAACGTTTAAAATTTACACAATTTCCGACGAGTTTTCCAATTTTCTCGCGAACTAGTCACCTTTCAGGATATTTTTCAGCCAAACCACGGAATGTTAGCCATCAAGAAAGGCACCATTCTCTTCATCTCGTCGAGAAGTATGATTTTCATTTTTGAATCACTCAATTTCATTGAGTATTGAAGAAGTTATGAACATTTAAAGTTTATGTTTGGGTTGATATTTAAACATTGGGCCTTGTATAAGGAAAAGGCCAAAGGCGCCCAAAAAAATTGAATTTGCCTGAAGCCTGGAGCAAATTGAAGCCTTCTCAACTAAGATATAGGCTATGTGCCTAGGACCTAAGTGACAATTGACAGAGACCAACTCACTATTAGCCAAAAAGCACTGTCTAGTGGCACTACAAGTAAATATATGATGACTCACTGTCCCTGAGAACCCTCAGCCAAGAACAAAGCCTAAACAGTCGGGCCAGATCGCCTATAAAGGGAAGAAGAGACAACAAAAAGAATGACACTAAACCAATTAAACAAACAACATACAAACTCTGCTATCAAGCCAGTTCGTACCTAGAAAAGTTGTAATCAACCCAGATTCAGTCCTTTTAACAATAGTTTTCATAGAAAAACCATCTTTTGTCTAGTGTAAAAGCTCTGCTACCTTCCCTAGTGTTGTAATATTGATTCCCTTGTGTAAAACCTATTTATCATCTATCCCTTTTTAGTGTACAATCTCTGTGAACTCTAAGAGAAGTGGTTGCAAAAAGTTCAACACTGCCCGACAAGGTGAAAACTTGCCCAAATCTCTTTGTTTGTCTTTTAAATTAGTAGGTATGTCATCAAAATGTACTTTTCAGCATGTATTCAAGTTATTTCCAGTTATTTTCTACCTAAGAGTCCCATTCCCATCCGGATCTGGTTAATTTAATAAACCTGCTTTCATCAAGAACAACCTGGAATCAAGCAAATGGTTTAAAGGGCTCTGGACTCCTTTCATTCGAACATACAAGATCATGAACTAAAAGTCCTTGTTTACAAGGCAAGAAAAATAACTTAAGGCAGACTTAACCCATGTACGACAATCCTTTGATAACAAGAAGTTTGAGTAACTTTGGATGCAAGTAATCAACTTAAACCAAATTTGTTCTACATCTGCTATACTGAGATAACAGTGGCACGCCAAGCTCTTTGTTAGTTTTGATTGCGAGCCTTAAGGCCTATACCTAAGGTCCCACAAAGGCACCTTTCAAAACTAACTTTATATTCTTCTTGTAGCATACCAAGCAGTAAGAAGTCAGCAGATACCAACACATTCACCCAAGTGCCAACCTCCCAGGGGAGCTGTGCAAGGGTCGAAATCTCGCCCGAACAATTTACCCAGTTTCTGGCGAGTTTTCCAGTTTTCCCGCGGACTAGTCACCTTTCAGGCTATTTTCGGCCATCTCCAACAACCATTGGGCTTCCAAATAGGTATAATCTTGTTCAACACTTTCCTATCTTCATTTTGATATATTATGGGTCGAATTTGGTTAAAAAACGATTGAGAAACTTTGAAAATTACCCAAACTTCCGGCCAAAAATCTCAGTTTCCAGTATTAGCTCCGGGACCACTCAACAGAGTTTTTAACAGAATGACCAAAATAATGGATGGTGGACAATCTCAGGGAACATTTCTATTGATTTTCAATCTCAGGGACCAAAGTGATGTGCTACGTAAATCTCAGGGATCATTTTGACTAAAAAGCCTAAAAAAATAATGGGGATCTCTACAGAGAATATGCATATAATATACATTGTCAATGATCTTGTAACTTAATTAAGTCATCGTTCTCCCTAAAAGTAATGTGACCGATGACCAATCTATTTTTTTTATACAATGTGACCAATCTATTTAATTCATAAAGTGAAGACTGACTGCTGCTAGACCAGAAGCCATGTGTAACAAGACCCAAATTTAATATGGGAACTAATTAACTTTAAATTTTCTAGGAATTTCATTTGTAAGAAGACGTTAACTCGCATGCAATACTACTCCAAAATTCAAGACTTTCCAAGTTGAATTGAAGGAATAATCTATGAGAAGAGAATTTGTCTTTCTTAATTTTCTTCCTGACACATCAGTTGGCAGTGAACTTTCCTTGTAGATTTCGTTAGGAGAAAAACAGGTTGCAGGAGTATAAAAAATGAATTCAATAACCACAATTTTATATGGCTTTTTTGCTGAATTACCTAGAAACTGGCTTCATTCACTTTACTCGCACTCCTCTCAGAACCGTCTCATATCGACAGCATGACGGGGATTCGCTTATAGTTGCTACAAATGTCGCTTACTCTTCCAGAGAATGGGGTGATAACTGCCGCTGAGAGTGGCGCTAAAATTCATCTAAGGATGCTTCTAGGAAATGCAACGTATATCTGTGTTTCATGTGTTAAACTACCTCCTACAACTAGGCACAACTCACAAGTACGAATGGTGAATCAGAGTGTTGAAGACGAGTTAGGGATGATGATGAATATTACTGTGAAATATGAGAAGAAAAGCGAGATCCCGCGCATTGTTCTACAACTGCGCGGAATGTGAGTTCGATTGTCATCCTAACTACATTCTGTAAAAGTATCTACAAGTCAAGTTAGGGGGCACTGATAGGAATTTTTACCACCTGCAAAAATAGGAATAAAAACACTTAAAAATATTTACAAGAGAACAAGATAGTTATAGTATAAAAGGCTCGTTTCCACAGGAATTGATTGAATAATTTGTATTTAAACTAATTCTTAATTAACTATTTAAAACAAAGTTTCGAAAAAGTTGATTTTATGACCTAGAATATTAAAAACGAATTTTAAATTAAAACAGTTAAAGAAACCAATTTGAAAAGGAACAATCTTAGAAAATAATGATAAAAGACCATCACCTTAACAATCTTATGTAGTTTTACCAATTACTTATGAATTACACATGCAACTTTGAAGGTTAGGTTTTCCTTATGCATATTCTACTTGTGGCATTCAAGCTAGAACGTATATCAAACATGCAATCCGTCTTTGACATTTAGATCAAATATAAACATGCATGACTCATTACACTTTGTGAAAACCCTTTGAAAAACCATGCAACCCCTAAGACGTGGCATTCGCCCTAGGTATACTTACAACTATCAATCACAAGAAGCAATACCCAATCTTCCGGTGGCATTCCGACCAAATTGCATCCAATTATTTATCTAAACATCCTAATGGTAGCTAAGCATTAAGATATAAAGGCAGTTTAAATACAGTGATTAATAATTCAAAGTATGCATGCATATATCATAAGCAATTAAATAAAAACTACATATTCATGCTAAGGCTCAAGGCATCGCCCTATCAAACCGAAATTAGTTACGAACAACCATAAAACATAAGGAATTTTATTGAAATAGAAAAAAGATAGAAAACACCTTGAAATACAAATCGTCAAAGCCTAGCTAAGTTCTCCAATGGCTAAAAAGCCTTATTTATACTACTACAAAATAAAATTCTACCTAGAAAAGGTCTTCTAAAAACTAGGAAACATAATAGAATAAGATAAATAGGAAATAAAAGGTTTCTTATTTGAACTAAAATTCGAACTTCTCATAAAATTAGACTTTTGACCGACCAAATCAACTCTGATTAGGTTCCAAAGCTTGAGACGTCCTTAACAAATCCTCAGAAGGAATCTTCCTCTAAATATACCATCTTGACCTTCAAAATACTCAAAACATCCAGAAACGTCAATCTGGGAAAGTTATGCGTTGAGCCTTCTTTTCTTAGCCACGATCAAACGGCTTAATATAAGAATCTGAAACTTTGACACAATCATCTTGACCTTCATAATTCTGCCCATTTTCATTAATTAAATATCAAGTCTCTTGTGGCCAAGGCTTAATCTCCCTACAACATGACCAACTCATTTTATTTATTTATTTATTTTCTGGCATTGAATTCTTACTTCGTAGCAATTTTTATTCTTATTTTTGTTCACTCGTTCAAACGCTGGCCTCTTAACCTGTTGATTTTTCAAAGGTTAAATAAAGTAGCCATAACACGATAACTAAGGTTTTTTAACCAACAAAATAGAGATTGTATGCCACTAAACCGAATGATCGTGAGTAAGAGTACTAATCTATTTGTTGGCCTATTATAGAAGAACAATTTACATGAAATAAGTTCACTGCCACCGTCGCGTCCTGATCCATTTAATTCATGTAAGAGTACTAATCTATTTGTTGGCCTATTATAGAAGAAAATTTTACATGAAATAAGCTCACTGCCACCGTCGCATCCTGATCCATTTAATTCATTCTCAGTTACTTTCATTTTGACCTCTCACTTTTTCCTCTTAAATTTGTGTTTTCTCATTTCTTCCTGATCTTGTCAGTTGGCAAGGAACTTTCGTTGTAGATTTCGTAATGACAAAAACAGGATAGAAGCATAAAAAATGAATTCAGTAACCACAATTTAGTTGATTTTACAATCCTCAAGTAATTACCATGATGCTAAATAATATGAAAATCTAAGTCCATTGTTTGTTTATCTCATTCTATTCAAATCGACAAGTAGAGAAATTGACAAAAAAAGCTTCCTTCTGATACAAGTCATTTGTCTGACATCAATTAGCTTAAATATTTTGCAAAAGACCATGTCCTCCTTCTCCTTCTCCTTCCACCTTGATAGCTCCTTCATCCTTCGATTTCTCGGTCTCTCAAACTCTACCAGAAAATCTTCATGAGTAGGATGGAAATTCCTTTGCTGCAAACGTCTGCCGTCCTCCTACTAGCCCTTTTGCACTTGTGTGCTTTTACTCCAGCAGGAAGCTTGAGTTTTAGCTACCCCACATTTCAAGACAGCGTTGATGAGAAGGATTTTGTTCGATCCGAATATTCACGCATATATTTAAAGGCCATCCAGGTGACTCCTGATGTTAGTAACGTGGGTTCGATCAAGAACCAAGCTGGAAGGTTTTTGTATAAAAAACCGTTCAAGTTGTGGGGGAAGGGAAAAGACGGTGATCGCAGAGTAGCATCTTTCAATTCTACCTTTGTGCTGAACATCACTCCCAAAACCAATCCAGGTGGTGAAGGATTGGCCTTTATCTTAACAGAAAGTCCCACTCTTCCTGACAACAGCGAGGGGGAATGGCTTGGAATTGTAAATGCAAAGTCAAACGGATCGGCTGAAGCTAAAATAGTGGCAGTAGAATTCGACACAAGAAAGAGCTACTCGGAAGATGTGGATGACAACCACGTGGGGTTGGACGTAAACAGCGTTTACTCGATTCAACAAGTGTCTTTGCTTGGCTATGGTGTTCATCTATCAAGCGAAACCAATTACACAGTGAGAATTGAGTATGACAGCCAGAACATCGCTGTCTTTGTTTCCCAGACCAATAAAACTAGGGAAGGAATGAAGAATACTCCAGTTCTGGTTCACACTCTCGATCTCTCTGCCTATCTTTCGAGGGAGGTCTATGTGGGATTCTCAGCTTCCACGAGCAATAACACTCAGCTAAATTGCATCCTATCTTGGGACTTCCACTCTTCGCATATAGATGAAAATTCAAACCTGCTGTGGGTTTGGATTACGGTCCCAGTAGTAGTACTACTTTTGGTAACTGGAGTTTATTGTTACTTTTTCGGGACAAGACAAGGTGCAAAGCAGGAGGTGCATCCGAGGATTGAAGATGAGATTAAAACAACTTCCATGGCTCCAACAAAATTCAAACTGAAAGAACTTCAAAGAGCAACAGGCAGATTCAATCCCAAGAACAAGCTCGGAAAAGGTGGCTTTGGAACTGTCTATAAGGGACTCTTGGGAGACAAAGAGATAGCTGTCAAGCGAGTCTCAAAGGATTCACATCAAGGCAAGCAAGAATTCATTGCAGAAGTCACCACAATTGGCAGCCTTCGTCACAAAAATCTGGTCAAACTAATTGGATGGTGCTACGAAAGCCATGAGCTTCTTATCGTCTATGAGTTCATGCCAAATGGAAGCCTAGACAGATTTGTATTCAGGGATGAGAGTTTTGGCACAGAGATAGGGAAACCAACACTGAGCTGGGAAAGAAGGCGCAGCATAATATTTGGAGTAGCTCATGCGCTAGATTATATTCACAATGGATGTGAGAAGCGAGTGCTTCACCGAGACATCAAAGCCAGCAATATCATGTTGGACTCGGATTTCAACGCGAGGCTGGGAGACTTTGGACTCGCTCGTACCATTCAGCACAGTAACTTGACTCACCACTCCACGAATGAGATTGCAGGAACACCAGGCTACATGGCTCCGGAGACATTTCTTATTGGAAGGGCTACTGTTGAGACGGATGTTTATGCATTTGGTGTTCTTATGCTAGAAGTTGTCTGCGGACGAAGGCCTGGTAATCAAAACAAGCAGAACAACTACAACAACAGCATAGTGTATTGCCTGTGGGATCTTTATAGCAGAGGAAGGATCCTTGATGCTGTTGACTCAAGAATGGATGGAGACATCGACGAGGCTGATATGGCATGTGTGCTGATGTTGGGGTTATCGTGTTGCCACCCTAACCCACATGAGAGGCCATCTATGAGAACCGTCCTTATGGTTCTTACAAGGGAGGCGGATCCGCCAGCTTTGCCCCAAGAACGACCTGCTTTTGTGTGGCCAGCCATGCCTCCATCGTTCAAAGATGATACAGAATCTGATGTGGCTGGAGGCTAAATTACTCCATTAACAGAACTCAGTGGAAGATTACTAATATAGCCACATCAGAAATCAAGAAAAGCCTTGGTGTTCTCGAAATGTAATTTTGTAACAGAAATAATTTGGCTAGTTACATTTTCTTACTTTGTAAATACGTACATACATACATACATACATATATGTGGGGTGTGCTATCCACACACCCCATTTTACTTCTCACACACCCCTTAATAATTTTTGTCTGATGATCTTCTTCAATTCATCTGATCCGAAGGCCGAAAATTAAAAAAGTGTGTGAGAAGTAAAATGGGGTGTGTGGATATCACACCCCCTGTATATATATATATATATGTGTGTGTGTGTGTATTATGCTTGTTCATCTGTATCGTAACACGCATGTTATTTAGTAAAAGAAATCTTACTGAAGCACTTGATTCACTCAAAACCCATCGCTTTAAGCTTCGTTCTTGTAATTAAATCAGCTTAGAAAAAGCCAAGGGCTTATTTCCCTGCAGGCTGTAGACAATGCTCCGTCTTATTCCGGGGCATTGGTTTCTTCCTCCCATATCAAATTCAACAGGTTTAGAATTCACTGATGTTTCGTTGTTATGTTACCTCAGCACAACCAAAGATGTTCGTGTTAGTATTTTAACCGGAAACTAATCAACCTTGGCAGCAAATCTCCGTGATCCCATGAATAAAAAGCATTCAAAGTTAAAGAATTACTAGCACATCACTTCCATGGCTGAGGCTCCAAAGAAATTCAAAATACAAAAGCCACATTTCTCAACTCAAGCAGCATAAAAATAAGGAATTATTAAGTGGTCATTGATTTCCGTTAAGTGAGTTTGAATTTTGATATTTGGGTAGTAAATAAATTCAATGAAACTCATCTAATGAAAATCAATAGAGCGGTGGTTTGTTTGTGAGTTTTTGTATATGGAATTCGGCCTCGTTAATATTATTCCTAAATAGAATTCCTACTGCTACTGTTTACACAGTTGGCTGCGATTAGAAGGGTGGACTTCCATTGGTGCGGTTGATTAAAATGAGTGGGCTTCATCAAAAGAATTTCGTCGGCAACGTTCAGGTTCTCCTTCGAAGGCAATGTCCCAAGCTCAAAAATCACACAACCGCTCCCAGTTCTTTATCTTATGATGTTTGGTGCAGCTGCTACCCGCCCTTCTTATGTTGGTGGCTCGGGTTTCACATTGTATCTACGGCCGTTTAAATGGATCGTAATGCAAACCAAAAAGAGTTCCCAAGTCGTTTAAATGTAGGGTTGTGATATTCACACATCCTTAACTACTTTTCTCACTATCTTTTTATTTTTAGTACTTAATTGGTATCCTACTATTTAATCTTCCATATATACCCTTCCTATTTTTTGACTTTTCAAAGTTGTTTTTTATTTTTGATTTTTACACTTACAAAGAATCAACACTCAAGAATCAACCCTAGACTTCTCTATTCCCCTATCCTCTTTGCTTCCATTCATACCTTCCATGCAAAACCAATCTATTACCCTTCTTTATTACTTCTTGTGAAAAACCACAATGGATGATCTTATAATAACAGATGATGAGCTCCAAATGGACATTGAGTTGTAGAACATATTGGATATGGCATGCAAGGAGGATGGCATGGAAGAAATTTCAGAATGCATTCATCCTCGTAACACTTTTGATGGTAAGTTTCTAAAGTATTTTCTCAAATTATTAAGATTGATTTTGGAATTTAGGGTTTTTGTTCTCTTCTTGCGTTTGGTTTTTATCTCAAGACGACAAGAAAGATGTCCACACATGTCATTCGAAAGTTCATGGTTATGCAATAAACTTTTTATCTCTAGCTTCCAAAATTCTTCACGTTTCATTTTACACCCCCTGACTTCAAATGGACAATTTATGAGGCGAGATACTAAGTTTCTTTTTCTTTCATCTAGTGAAGTTTTAAAGGCTCGATGAACCCCACCTCTATCACAACCAATAGGAACATATGTATTTGTCTTAAATCTTCTAATAACGGTTGCAAACCCTTACATTAATGTTATCTTACGAACTTCACCGATGAGGTCTTCTCGACTTTCAAAACATTTGGACAACAAAAAGAGCATTTAATCGGGCTCATCAATCGTTGGTTGACTTCCTATATATCACAAACCAACACATTTATATATGTAGAATATATACTTTGGTTTTATCAATGGGCTGGACATTTAAGTATCAAATTTATACCAAAGCATTGTATACATTATATCAAGTTTACACCAAAACATTGTATGTATCAAACTTAACTCTAACAATTGGTAACTTTTAAGCAGTGTGTTGGTAAATATATGAAACATGATTATTTTTGTATCAATTTTTACAATCCTATGCCGATATGGGTATTACCTAAAATTTCCTTTCTTAATTTTTATATGGGTGGCGTTAGGATTTCTTATCATCCTAAGCTATGGAATTGTATTGATTGACAAACTAATACAGTAAATGGATTGATTGAATATTCATTCATGGACAAGAATTATTGAACAATGTGTAGGTATTTATTGGCAGCACCGCCGTATGCCACTGAAGCTCAAGGGAAAATTTTATAGGACGGCAATAAGGCCGGCGATGCTGTATGGCACAGAATGTTGGGCGGTGAAGCATCAACACGTACACAAAATGGGTGTAGCGGAGATGAGGATGCTTCGTTGGATGTGTGGGCACACGAGAAAGGATAAGATTAGGAATGAGGATATCCGGGGTAAAGTAGGAGTAGCCGAAATTGAAGGAAAGATCAGAGAAAATCGATTACGGTGGTTTGGACATGTGCAAAGAAGGCCTACTGACGCTCCGATTAGAAGATGCGACTATGGGACAGAGGTTCAGGGCCGAAGGGGTAGAGGAAGACCTAGGAAAACTTTGGAAGAGACTCTAAGAAAAGACTTAGAGTACTTGAATCTAACGAAGGACATGACACAGGACCGAGCACAATGGCGTTCTAAGATTCATATAGCCGATCCCACTCAGTGACATGGATTTTCCAAGTCTCCAACCGAGAAGTTTTCCTCACTCGGGAAATTAAGGGAACACTACCTCAACCTACATGCTCCACTCACAAAGCTTCCATACAAGCTTCAACAAAAGAAAATTCAAAGAACTTAGCGAAGAATGATCTGGTGTATTTAACACAAACGTTGAAATGAAGGAAAGCTTATTTATTGATATTCCCGATAAGCTACAAATATGTACATATACATAAGTCAAAATAAACAAACAAGAGGGAGCCTTCACAAAGGTTGCTTAGGAGAAGTCTCAGCAGTCGGTAGAGCCCCAGAAAGAGAAGGCACTGGAGGGGGATCATTCGGAGCCTCAGTACTGGACAGAACCCTAGAAGGAGGAGGCATCAGAGGTTGATCATTTGGAGCTTCATTACGCGGTACAGCCCCAGAAGATGAAGGCAATAAATGCCTTTGGAACAAACCCACAAATCTCTGATGATCAAGTAAAACCTGACCATCAGACTCCTTCATCTGGTCAAGCTTCCTCTTCATGTTTGTAGCATAGTCATGAGCGAGCCGGTGCAACTGTTTATTCTCATGCTTGAGCCCTCTAATCTCCTGTTTGAGACTCATCACTTCAGCCGCCAATGATTCAACTTGGCGGGTTCGAGCAAATAGGCGTTGGGCCATATTAGACACAGAACCTGCACACTGAACACTGAGAGCCAACGAATCCTTAACAGCTAACTCATCAGACCGTTTGGAAAGTAGTCTGTTATCTTTGGGAGTGAGAAGGTTCCTGGCCACCACCGCGCAGCGGTCATATCATTCTTCATTACGGAATCCCCAACGGTAAGAGGACCAGTAGGGGAGACGAAGGATGGGCGCCATATGTTGTCTGGAGAAGGCGGGGCTGCCTCTTCAACAAGGTTCAAGTCAAAACGACGGTCGGAGGGGCCAGACATTTTCAAAGGTGTTGAAGAGAGAAGAGGTCGGATAAATCAAGATCTTAGAAGTGCAAGAATGGAGCTTCTACTGGTGGATTTCAAGTGTTCTTTAGAACTTAATGCCAGCCCCTATAAAAATCTGCACTCGACGGAGCTTCAGAAATCGAAGAGGCGTTTGCTTTCTCAAAAGCTGGGCTGCTCAGAGACCACGAGGGTTGATCTCAGAAATCGAAGAGGCGTTTGCTTTCTCAAAAGCTGGGCTGCTCGAAGACCACGAAGGCCAATCTCAGAAATCGAAGAGGCGCTCGCTTTCTCAAAAGTTGGGCTGCTCAGAGACCACGAGGGCCGATCTCAGAAATCGAAGAGGCACCTACTTTTCCAGCCTTGTCAGCACCTATCACACGCACACTCAGCTTTGCAGAAATTATGGGCATTCTGTCAAAGACTTCTGGTGAAGTAGAAAGCACATGAATCTTACTGCTCAATCACCCACTTCCCACACGCAACAATAGCTCATGGGTACCACAGATAACTTTGCCAAAGTTCTCTGCCAAAGTTGAGCACGTGAAGCTTGCAGCTCCTACTACATCGCTCTAACCAAGAAGGGTAAAAGAATAGCAAAGAAATAGTACTAACAAAGTTTAGACACATAAATTTTGAAGGTCTAGCTACCATATTATTACCCACAAGGGTAAAGGAACAGTACCACTGCTGGATAATTGGAAAGTCCCTGTGTGTCAACCTCTGTGCTTCGTAGCAAGGTAGACTAGCAAACATGCCCAACCTTTACTCACATTCGAGAAAACTCCTAACAAGATTGCTTGCTCCAAAATCGAAGAGGCATCGTCCTCTGAATCTCGAGAGCCAGACTCCCAACATGACTACTTTCTCAAAAATCGAAGAGAGGGTAAAGGAACAGTACCATTGCTGGATAATTGGAAAGTCCCTGTGTGTCAACCTCTGTGCTTCGTGGCAAGGTAGACTAGCAAACATGCCCAACCTTTACTCACATTCGAGAAAACACTCCCAACAAGATTGCTTGCTCCAAAATCGAAGAGGCACCGCCTTCCGAATCTCGAGAGCCAGACTCCCAACATGATTACTTTCTCAAAATTCGAAGAGACACCGCTCTCCGAATCTCGAGAGCTAGACCCCCAGCATGATTGCTTTCTCAAAAATCGAAGAGGCATCATTCTCCGAATCTCGAGAGCCAGATCCTCGATAGGATTGCTTGTTCGAAAACCGAAGAGGCACCACTTTCCCAACTTCAAGAGCCGGATCTCCTTGGATAAAGCTTGTCTGTAATCCTCACACGCAACATCAGCTTTCCAGATACCACAGACCACTTTTTCAAAGTGCTCTGACAGAGTTAAAACATGTGAAGCTGGCAGCTCCCACTACCGTGCTATGACCAAGCAGGGTAAAGGAATAGCATTACTACTTGCTGTTAGGGAGACTCCTATATATGTCGACCTCCATCCCCAACGGACAGACAGACCTGCAAAAATGCTCAACCCTTCCTCATATCTGAGAGGGCACTCCCAACGAAGCCTTTCGAAATACTCAGCTTTCTTCCCCCCTGATAATACCTCTGCAAACAAGCTATACTAGAGCAAGAATATCCCATATCATCAGGGTTAAAAGCAAGAGTATCCCATATCATGCTTTTTCCCTGTCTTTTCCTTTGGCCTTGTTCTTACCTGCAAGACAAGGAGAAAGAGAGCAATCAGTCAGCACTTGGAATCAAGCTTCTAGCCAGGAACTGACTGCCTGGAACCCCTTACCTGATTACTTACCTGGTATTGCTCTCGAGTACTCATCTTCAACATCTTATGCTCCCAGGGAAGATACCGCATCTGCCTGAGGAACAAATAGGGCAAGTGAGAATGATACAAGGAAGCATGTGGAGACAAACGTAACAGCACACGTGCCGATACATCCATTACTCTGTCAAAAGCAAAAGTATCCCATATCAGCAGGGTCGAACATACTCTAGATTTGATGGACTTGTTTTGACCCTCAAATTCTTCAGTCGGCCTTATACTCTGGAGGAAACCAGAAAAACCCTCCAGCTCAGTTCAAGAATAAGCCTGTGGAAAGTTACTTCTTCAAAAGCAAAAGTATCCCATATCATCTCTTCTCATTTTTCTTCTCTTTATCCTTCATGCTGCCTGCAAGATAAGGAGAATGTGAACAATCAGCCGGAGCTCTGATTGCTTACCTTGTCTGTCACATCTTTCAGCAGATCCCCCTAGCTCGGCGACTTGGGGACTCCTACTACATGGTTTGTATCGCGCTTGACCAAGCCTGAAACTACAAGTAAGCTTCAAGTGAAATTGATACATTACCTTGTGCATCTCCACCAGTTAAAGATACCACCCCTGGATGGAGGAAGAGTACTTCCAGAGAAGATGTCACATCTACCTATGAGACAGATAAGGCAAGTCAAGACGATACCACACTCCGATACTTAGAAGTTTCGTGATTACGAGATCATTCTCCCACAATATTTCCTAATGTCATTTGTACTAGATCATTCACTTGTACTCACTAAAGGAGAGCTTGAACCTATGTACTTGTGTAAACCCTTCACAATTAATGAGAACTCCTCTATTCCGTGAACGTAGCCAATCTGGGTGAATCACGTACATCTTGTGTTTGCTTTCCTATCTCTATCCATTTATATACTTATCCACACTAATGACCGGAGCAATCTAGCGAAGATCACAAAAAGCGACCGTTTTCGCTACCTAGGATCTATCTTGCAAGAGAGCGGAGAATTAGATGGAGATCTCAACCATAGAATACAAGCTGGATGGATGAAGTGTAAGAGTGCATCCGGAGTGTTGTGTGACCGTCGTATGCCACTGAAGCTCAAGGGAAAATTTTATAGGACGGCAATAAGGCCAACGATGTTGTATGGCACAGAATGTTAGGCGGTGAAGCATCAACACGTACACAAAATGGGTGTAGCGGGGATGAGGATGCTTCGTGGGATGTGTGGGCACACGAGAAAGGATAAGATTGGGAATGAGGATATCCGAGGTAAAGTAGGAGTAGCCGAAATTGAAGGAAAGATGAGAGAAAATCGGTTCCGGTGATTTGGACATGTGCAAAGAAGGCCTACTGACGCTCCGATTCGAAGATGTGACTACGGGACAAAGGTTCAGGGCCGAAGGGGTAGAGGAAGACCTAGGAAAACTTTGGAAGAGACTCTAAGAAAAGACTTAGAGTACTTGGATCTAACGGAGGACATGACACAAAACCGAGCGCAATGGCGTTCTAGGATTCATATAGCCGACCCCACTTAGTGGGAAAAGGCTTTGTTGTTGTTGTTGTTGTATACTCGAAATTTAAGCTGCAAAGCCACTATCTACATCGATTTTTGCACATTGAGATTAGGCACCCAATAATTCCATATGTTCATGGAGCCTAGGTAAAACACAACAATTAAACCTAATACCAATTTACCATTAAGTTAAAGTGTACTGGGGACCAATAGAAAATTAATTTCCCCAAAACCAACACAAATCAATTTTTAATTTTCTGATCCATAATTTGAAAATCTTCTCTAAAAATTAAAACTACACCAGTATTCATTCATTCGATTGACATTTGAACCACAAATTAGGGAAAGAGAAAAATAAACCTAAAAAAACAAATTGAGATAAAAACCTAACGAAAGAAGAGAACAAAAACCCTAAATTCCAAAATCAATCTTAATAATTTGAGAAAATACTTTAGAAACTTACCATCAAAAGTGTTAAGAGGAGAAATGCATTCTGAAATTTCTTGCATGCGATCCTCCTTGCATGCCATATCCAATATGTTCTGCAACTCAATGTCCATCTGGAGCTCTTCATCTGTTATTGTCAGGTCATCCATTGTGGATTTCACAAGAATAATAAAGAAGGGTAATAGATTGCCTTTTCATGGAAGGTATGAATGGAAGCAAAGAGGACAGGGGACAGAGAAGTCTGGGAGTTTATCTTGAGTGTTGATTCTTTCCAAGTGTAAAAATCAAAAATAAAAAACAACTCTCAAAAGTCAAAAAGTAAGAAGGGTATATATGAAAGATTCAATAGTAGGATACCAACTAAGTATTAAAAAAAATAAAAAATAAAAAAGGTGTGAAAAAAGTAGTTAAGGGTGTGTGAATATCAGACAACAAAATGCAAATGAATGAAACACGAACGGAATCGTAAACCTCTGCCATCGCCGCAACTACATTTCCTGAATAAAAGAGAAGAATATTTGATTACAATGACACGGATCCGATTAAATTCCTCTCTTCCATCGGAAATTTGGTTTCAAAAGAAAAAAGTTGGGACAAATCGACATCTCAGACTTGAATCCAATACTATCTTCACCCAACTACCAAACAATGCAGAAACCAACCCGAAAAAAAATTCTCAGACATTGTCAGCTTGCACTGTCAAGTCCTGTATTCCCAAATCATGGTACAAACCGTGCACATATTGAAGAATGGGGCGATCGTCTATTCCTTTCTTTACCTGTTAGCATCATCGACTAAAATCAGACCCGTAAAGGTAGGATATCCTTATCGAAAATTGACCTACAGAAGTTATTTACAATAATTGTTACCTGTACTGAAATCGACCCAACAACATGACCAGGAACCAATTCCCAAAACCGTGCTTGTGAAACTTCAGATACATCTTCACGGGCAGTAATCTGACAAAAACATAATGTCAAAACAAACATCAATAACTCAATTGCTAATAAAACATTAGGATTGAGCCATGCTGCAGCAAATATACACCACCTGTCGCCAGCATTTGCTCAATGCTGAAGGTGGAACGTTTGGTGGTGCCATTTGGAGTAGAATACCACCACTCGCTCTAAATAATGGCATTACAAGCATAAAAACTGCAGCTGAAACTAATCCGAAACACAAAACCTCTGCATTCTGAACCCTACATAGTTGAAAATAGATCTCAAATCAAGGCAAACAAAAGAGAAGAAAAATAGACAGAAAATCAAGCATTATTTACTCACCCAATAGATAGAAACCAGGATGCCAATATCACCCCTGCACTGGGAAACAAATTTCCATATACCAGCTTCAGATAAAAGTTCACATGATAAATATATAGCTACATAGGGTCTCACCCGACTTATATTGGCAATCTGGAACAGAACTTCTAATAAGAATAAACTGATTAAAGGTCTAGATTCAGTGTCTGGCAGTACAATCTTCGTATGCTGCCAGACGGACTGGCAAGACAATATTTATGTTGTTACATGTATTCAAAAAGGTAATTAGTGTGCTAAACAAAAAAAGATAACAAGGGGGAGGATGTTGTACCTGCGAATTGAATCTGCAAGAACATGCAGGCAAACTGAGTGATTGTTCATATCTTCTGCATTTCTATAAACTGCATGACATACGTGCACTATATAAAACAAAAGTAAAGGAAGGAAACCAAAAAATATCATTCCCAATGCTCATACTCAAAAGTAAAAGGGAAATGAGTCATTCATACAGAATGCACATATTAATCATATCCCACACATTTACCAATAGCATCCATTTTTGTTTTGTGATGACGTGAAGGCACAAAATTAGGATGTACAAAGATCATAAAGGCTAAACCAAACACTGATGGATACACCAATACCAGTGGTCTCCAGAAAATACGACCAACATACCATGAAGGTAATTTATGTGTAAGGAAAGTAACCGCACCATTCTGATGTGTCATGGAAAACTTTATTTTCCAACTGTTACGCCAAAATCTTTCTACTACTCTTGTATTATTGCAATTATTTAGGTTGGGCCAAAAACAAGGGTGATTTTTGTGGCTTTTGATGCCAAGTTTTAACTAAGTTGCGTCAAGGTATATGTTAAGTCCACTATCCTGAACTTTCAAAAGAATGCAAAAGAACAGTGACAATCTTTCTAACTAGACTAACCGAGGCAATCTTTTTAGGTGAGTTGGGGCAAGTCTCAGAAACAAATACCATGGTGAATTTCATAGATGGTCAAGACAATCACAAATGGTTCTCAATGTCAAAACATAACATACAGCTGAAAACTTACCAAGATTTACACGAGCATAATTTCTGAAGAACCAAACACCAATAAGGTTCACCAGTAGATTTGTCACAGCCGAAACAATCAAGTAATGCCTACAACCAGATAATTGGCAGACAACAAAATCCATCAGAATAAAAACTATAACCACAAAAGGAGGAACCAAAAACTTTCTACCACAGTAGTTTGCCTAATGATGAATAGACCAGTGGAAATCCTGCCCAAATTCATTAGATAAATACATAAGTATGAACGGAGTACCAAATCGTGAGATCACATTAAAATAAAATCATTGTCTGATACCCTTGTCAGACAGCCCAGTTTAAGTCCGATATACTTATTAAACATGTGAACCTACAAAACATTTGGTAAAGAGACAGCAGATCTTTATACTGTGCCACAAGACAATATTAGAACTGTACTTCAATGTTATACCGAACTTAACTTTCTCAGAATTAGTCTTCAATAGTAATTTCTTAGCAAGTCAGTGAACCACACAAGGACATTTTTAATAGACCACAAAGACAACAATCTGAAGACACATGAAATAATATAAACATATATAGAATGTTTTGGAACAACAGTGAAAGCAAATGAAATAGTGAGATCCCAGAAGCAAAAAGTGTATATACCACAACAACAACAACAACAACAACAAAGCCTTTTCCCACTAAGTGGGGTCGGCTATATGAATCCTAGAACGCCATTGCGCTCGGTTTTGTGTCATGTCCTCCGTTAGATCCAAGTACTCTAAGTCTTTTCTTAGAGTCTCTTCCAAAGTTTTCCTAGGTCTTCCTCTACCCCTTCGGCCCTGAACCTCTGTCCCGTAGTCACATCTTCGAACCGGAGCGTCAGTCGGCCTTCTTTGCACATGTCCAAATCACCAGAGCCGATTTTCTCTCATCTTTCCTACAATTTCGGCTACTCCTACTGTACCTCGGATATCCTCATTCCCAATCTTATCCTTTCTCGTGTGCCCACACATCCCACGAAGCATCCTCATCTCCGCTACACCCATTTTGTGTACGTGTTGATGCTTCACCACCCAACATTCTCTGCCATACAACATCGCTGGCCTTATTGCCGTCCTATAAAATTTTCCCTTGAGCTTCAGTGGCCTACAACAGTCACACAACACGCCGGATGCACTCTTTCCATCCAGCTCGTATTCTATGGTTGAGATCTCCATCTAATTCTCCGTTCTCTTGCAAGATAGATCATAGGTAACGAAAACGGTCACTTTTTGTGATCTTCGCTAGATTGCTCCGGTCATTAGTGTGGATAAGTATATAAATGGATAGAGATAGGAAAGCAAACACAAGATGTACGTGGTTCACCCAGATTGGCTACGTCCACGGAATAGAAAAGTTCTCATTAATTGTGAAGGGTTTACACAAGTACATAGGTTCAAGCTCTCCTTTAGTGAGTACGAGTGAATGATTTAGTACAAATGACATTAAGAAATATTGTGGGAGAATGATCTCGTAATCACGAAACTTCTAAGTATCGGAGTGTGGTGTCGTCTTGACTTGCCTTATCTGTCTCATAGGTAGATGTGGCATCTTCTCTGGAAGTACTCTTCCTCCATCCAGGGGTGGTATCTTTAACTGGTGGAGATGCACAAGGTAATGTATCAATTTCACTTGAAGCTTACTTGTAGTTTCAGGCTTGGTCAAGCGCAATACAAACCATGTAGTAGGAGTCCCCCAAGTCGCCGAGCTAGGGGGTCTGCTGAAAGAGGTGACAGACAAGGTAAGCAATCAGAGCTCCGACTGATTGTTCACCTTCTCCCCATCTTGCAGCAGCATGAAGGATAAAGAGAAGAAAAATGAGAAGAGATGATATGAGATACTTTTGCTTTTGAAGAAGTAACTTTCCACAGGCTTATTCTTGAACTGAGTTGGAGGGTTTTCTGGTTTCCTCCAGAGTATAAGGCCGACTGAAGAATTTGAGGGTCAAAACAAGTCCATCAAATCTAGAGTACGTTCCACCCTGCTGATATGGGATACTTTTGCTTTTGACAGAGTAATGGATGTATCGGCACGTGTGCTGTTACGCTTGTCTCCACATGCTTCCTTGTATCCTTCGCACTTGCCCTATCTGTTCCTCAAGCAGATGCGGAATCTTCCCTGGAAACATAAGATGTTGAAGATGAGTACTCGAGAGCAATGCCAGGTAAGTAATCAGGTAAGGGGTTCCAGGCAGTCAGTTCCTGGCTGGAAGCTTGATTCCAAGTGCTGACTGATTGCTCTCTTTCTCCTTGTCTTGCAGGTAAAAACAAGGCCAAAAGAAAAACAGGGAAAAAGCATGATATGGGATACTCTTGCTTTTAACCCTGATGATATGAGATATTCTTGCTCTAGTATAGCTTGTTTGCAGAGGTATTATCGGGGGGAAAGAAAGCTGAATATTTCGAAAGGCTTTGTTGGGAGTGCCCTCTCAGATATGATGAAGGGTTGAGCATTTTTGCAGGTCTGCCTGTCCGTTGGGGATGGAGGTCGACATATATAGGAGTCTCCCTAACAACAAGTAGTAATGCTATTCCTTTACCCTGCTTGGTCATAGCACGGTAGTGGGAGCTGCCAGTTTCACATGTTTTAACTCTGTCAGAGCACTTTGAAAAAGTGGTCTGTGGTATCTGGCTCTCGAGATTCGGAGAACGATGCCTCTTCGATTTTTGAGAAAGCAATCATGCTGGGGGTCTGACTCTCGAGATTCGGAGAGCAGTGTCTCTTCGATTTTTGAGGAAGTAATCATGTTGGGAGTCTGGCTCTCGAGATTCGGAGGGCGGTGCCTCTTCGATTTTGGAGCAAGCAATCTTGTTGGGAGTGTTGTCTCGAATGTGAGTAAAGGTTGGACATGTTTGCTAGTCTACCTTGCCACGAAGCACAAAGGTTGACACATAGGGACTTTCCAATTATCCAGCAATGGTACTGTTCCTTTACCCTCTCTTCGATTTTGAGAAAGTAGTCATGTTGGGAGTCTGGCTCTCGAGATTCGGAGGACGGTGCCTCTTCTATTTTGGAGCAAGCAATCTTGTTGGGACTGTTTTCTCGAATGTGAGTAAAGGTTGGGCATGTTTGCTAGTCTACCTTGCCACGAAGCATAGAGGTTGACACACAGGGACTTTCCAATTATCCAGCAGTGGTACTGTTCCTTTACCCTTGTGGGTAATAATATGGTAGCTAGACCTTCAAAATTTATGTGTCTAAACTTTGTTAGTGCTGTTTCTTTGCTCTTCTTTTACCTTTCTTGGTCAGAGCGATGTAGTGGGAGCTGCAAGCTTCACGTGCTCAACTTTGGCAGAGAACTTTGGCAAAGTGATCTGTGGTACCCATGAGTTATTGTTGCGTGTGGGAAGTGGGTGATTGAACAGTAAGATTCATGTGCTTTCTACTTCACCAGAAGTCTTCGACAGAATGCCCATAATTTCTTGCAAAGCTGAGTGTGCGTGTGACAGGTGCTGACAAGGCTAGAAAAGTAGGTGCCTCTTCGATTTCTGAGATCGGCCCTCGTGGTCTCTGAGCAGCCCAGCTTTTGAGAAAGCGAGCGCCTCTTCGATTGATTCGGAGAACGGTGCCTCACCGATTTTTGAGAAAGCAATCATGCTGGGGGTCTGGCTCTCGAGATTCGGGGAGCAGTGTCTCTTCGATTTTTTGAGAAAGTAATCATGTTGGGAGAGTGGCTCTCGAGATTCGGAGGGCGGTGCCTCTTCGATTTTGGAGCAAGCAATCTTGTTGGGAGTGTTTTCTCGAATGTGAGTAAAGGTTGGGCATGTTTGCTAGTCTACCTTGCCACGAAGCACAGAGGTTGACACACAGGGACTTTCCAATTATCCAGCAATGGTACTGTTCCTTTACCCTCTCTTCGATTTTTAAGAAAGTAGTCATGTTGGGAGTCTGGCTCTTTAGATTCGGAGGACGGTGCCTCTTCGATTTTGGAGCAAGCAATCTTATTGGGAGTGTTTTCTCGAATGTGAGTAAAGGTTGGGCATGTTTGCTAGTCTACCTTGCCACGAAGCACAGAGGTTGACATACATGGGACTTTCCAATTATCCAGCAGTGGTACTGTTCCTTTACCCTTGTGGGTAATAATATGGTAGCTAGACCTTCAAAATTTATGGGTCTAAACTTTGTTAGTGCTGTTTCTTTGCTATTCTTTTACCCTTCTTGGTCAGAGCGATGTAGTGGGAGCTGCAAGCTTCACGTGCTCAACTTTGGCAGAGAACTTTGGCAAAGTTATCTGTGGTACCCATGAGCTATTGTTGCGTGTGGGAAGTGGGTGATTGAACAGTAAGATTCATGTGTTTTCTACTTCCCCAGAAGTCTTTGACAGAATGCCCATAATTTCCGCAAAGCTGAGTGTGCGTGTGACAGGTGCTGACAAGGCTGGAAAAGTAGGTGCCTCTTCGATTTCTGAGATCGGCCCTCGTGGTCTCTAGGGAGCCCAGCTTTTGAGAAAGCGAGCGCCTCTTCGATTTCTGAGATCGGCCTTCGTGGTCTTTGAGCAGCCCAACTTTTGAGAAAGCAAACGCCTCTTCGATTTCTGAGATCAACCCTCGTGATCTCTAAGCAGCCCAGCTTTTGAGAAAGCAAACGCCTCTTCGATTTCTGAGCAGGCGCCTCTTTGATTTCTGAAGCTCCGTCGAGTGCAGATTTTTATAGGGGCTGGCATTAAGTTCCAAAGCACACTTGAATCTCCACCAGTAGAAGCTTCATTCTTGCACTTCTAAGATCTTGATTTGTCCGACCTCTTCTCTCTTCAACACCTTTGAAAATGTCTGGCCCCTCCGACCGTCGTTTTGACTTGAACCTTGTTGAAGAGGCAGCCCCGCCTTCTCCAGACAACATATGGCGCCCATCCTTCGTCTCCCCTACTGGTCCTCTTACCGTTGGGGATTCCGTGATGAAGAATGATATGACCGCTGCGGTGGTGGCCAGGAACCTTCTCACTCCCAAAGATAACAGACTACTTTCCAAACGGTCTGATGAGTTAGCTGTTAAGGATTCGCTGGCTCTCAGTGTTCAGTGTGCAGGTTCTGTGTCTAATATGGCCCAACGCCTATTTGCTCGAACCCGCCAAGTTGAATCATTGGCGGCTGAAGTGATGAGTCTCAAACAGGAGATTAGAGGGCTCAAGCATGAGAATAAACAGTTGCACCGGCTCGCACATGACTATGCTACAAACATGAAGAGGAAGCTTGACCAGATGAAGGAAACTGATGGTCAGGTTTTACTTGATCATCAGAGATTTGTGGGTTTGTTCCAAAGGCATTTATTGCCTTCGTCTTCTGGGGCTGTACCGCGTAATGAAGCTCCAAATGATCAACCTCTGATGCCTCCTCCTTCTAGGGTTCTGTCCAGTACTGAGGCTCCAAATGATCCCCCTCCGGTGCCTTCTCTTTCTGGGGCTCTACCGACTGCTGAGACTTCTCCTAAGCAACCTTTGTGAAGGCTCCCTCTTGTGTGTTTTTATTTTGACTCATGTATATGTACATATTTGTAGCTTATCGGGGATATCAATAAATAAGCTTTCCTTCATTTCAACGTATTGTGTTAAATACACCAAAGCCTTCTTCGCTAAGTTCTTTGAATTTTCTTTTGTTGAAGCTTGTATGTTGAAGCTTTCTGAGTGGAGCATGTAGGTTGGGGTAGTGTTCCCTTAATTTCCCGAGTGAGGAAAACTTCTCGGTTGGAGACTTGGAAAATCCAAGTCACTGAGTGGGATCGGCTATATGAATCTTAGAACGCCATTGTGCTCGATCCTGTGTCATGTCCTTCGTTAGATCCAAGTACTCTAAGTCTTTTCTTAGAGTCTCTTCCAAAGTTTTCCTAGGTCTTCCTCTACCCCTTCGGCCCTGAACCTCTGTCCCATAGTCGCATCTTCTAATCGGAGCGTCAGTAGGCCTTCTTTGCACATGTCCAAACCACCGTAACCGATTTTCTCTCATCTTTCCTTCAATTTCGGCTACTCCTACTTTACCCCGGATATCCTCATTCCTAATCTTATCCTTTCTCGTGTGCCCACACATCCAACGAAGCATCCTCATCTCCGCTACACCCATTTTGTGTACGTGTTGATGTTTCACCGCCCAACATTCTGTGCCATACAGCATCGCCGGCCTTATTGCCGTCCTATAAAATTTTCCCTTGAGCTTCAGTGGCATACGGCGGTCACACAACACGCCGGATGCACTCTTCCACTTCATCCATCCAGCTTGTATTCTATGGTTGAGATCTCCATCTAATTCTCCGTTCTTTTGCAAGATAGATCCTAGGTAACGAAAACGGTCGCTCTTTGGTATTTCTTGATCTCCGATCCTCACCCCTAACTCGTTTTGGCCTCCATTTGCACTGAACTTGCACTCCATATATTCTGTCTTTGATCGGCTTAGGCGAAGACCTTTAGATTCCAACACTTCTCTCCAAAGGTTAAGCTTTGCATTTACCCCTTCCTGAGTTTCATCTATCAACACTATATCGTCTGCGAAAAGCATACACCAAGGAATATCATCTTGAATATGTCCTGTTAACTCATCCATTACCAACGCAAAAAGGTAAGGACTTAAGGATGAGCCTTGATGTAATCCTACAGTTATGGGAAAGCTTTCGGTTTGTCCTTCATGAGTTCTTACGGCAGTCTTTGCTCCTTCATACATATCCTTTATAGCTTGGATATATGCTACTCGTACTCCTTTCTTCTCTAAAATCCTCCAAAGAATGTCTCTTGGGACCCTATCATACGCTTTTTTCCAAATCTATAAAGACCATGTGTAAATCCTTTTTCCCATCTCTATATCTTTCCATCAATCTTCGTAAGAGATAGATTGCCTCCATGGTTGAGCGCCCTGGCATGAACCCGAATTGGTTGTCCGAAACCCGTGTCTCTTGCCTCAATCTATGCTCAATGACTCTCTCCCAGAGCTTCATTGTATGACTCATTAGCTTAATACCCCTATAGTTCATGCAATTTTGTACGTCGCCCTTATTCTTGTAGATAGGCACCAAAGTGCTCGTTCGCCACTCATTTGGCATCTTCTTCGTTTTCAAAATCCTATTGAAAAGGTCAGTGAGCCATGTTATACCTGTCTCTCCCAAAACTTTCCACACTTCGATTGGTATATCGTCTGGGCCTATTGCTTTTCTATGCTTCATCTTCTTCAAAGCTACAACCACTTCTTCCTTCCGGATTCGACGATAAAAGGAGTAGTTTCTACACTCTTCTGAGTTACTCAACTCCCCTAAAGAAGCACTCCTTTCATGTCCTTCATTGAAAAGATTATGAAAATAACCTCTCCATCTGTCTTTAACCGCGTTCTCTGTAGCAAGAACCTTTCCATCCTCATCCTTGATGCACCTCACTTGGTTTAGGTCCCTTGTCTTCTTTTCCCTTGCTCTAGCTAGTTTATAGATATCCAACTCTCCTTCTTTGGTATCTAGTCGTTTATACATATCGTCGTAAGCCGCTAACTTAGCTTCTCTGACAGCTTTCTTCGCCTCTTGCTTCGCTTTTCTATACCTTTCACCATTTTCATCGGTCCTCTCCTTGTATAAGGCTTTACAACATTCCTTCTTAGCCTTCACCTTTGTTTGTACCTCCTCATTCCACCACCAAGATTCCTTTTGGTGTGGGGCAAAGCCCTTGGACTCTCCTAATACCTCTTTTGCTACTTTTCGGATACAACTAGCCATGGAATCCCACATTTGGCTAGCTTCCCCCTCTCTATCCCACACACATTGGGTGATTACCTTCTCTTTGAAAATGGCTTGTTTTTCTTCTTTTAGATTCCACCATCTAGTCCTTGGGCACTTCCAAGTCTTGTTCTTTTGTCTTACTCTTTTGATATGTACATCCATCACCAACAAGCGATGTTGATTAGCCACGCTCTCTCCTGGTATAACTTTGCAATCCTTACAAGTTATACGATCCCCTTTCCTCATTAGAAGAAAATCTATTTGTGTTTTTGACGACCCACTCTTGTAGGTGATCACATGTTCTTCTCTCTTCTTAAAGAAGGTGTTGGCTAAGAAGAGATCATATGCCATTGCAAAATCCAAGATAGCTTCCCCATCCTCGTTTCTCTCCCCAAAACCATGGCCACCATGAAAACCTCCATAGTTGCCTGTCTCCCTGCCCACGTGTCCATTTAAATCTCCTCCTATAAATAACTTCTCCGTCTGAGCAATTCCTTGCACCAAGTCTCCAAGATCTTCCCAAAATTTCTCCTTCGAACTCGTATCCAACCCTACTTGAGGTGCGTACGCACTAATCACATTGATAAGTTCTTGTCCTATTACAATCTTGATTGCCATGATTCTATCTCCTACCCTCTTGACATCTACAACATCTTGTACCAAGGTCTTGTCCACGATGATGCCAACACCGTTTCTCGTTCTATTTGTGCCCGAATACCAAAGTTTAAACCCTGAGTTTTCTAGATCCTTTGCCTTACTACCAACCCACTTAGTTTCTTGTAGGCACATAATATTTATCCTTCTCCTCACCATAACTTCCACTACTTCCATAGATTTTCCCGTTAAGGTTCCTATATTCCACGTTCCTAAACGCATTTTGCTCTCTTGAACTCTACCCTTCTGTCCTAGCTTCTTCACCCTCCCCCGTCTAATAGGATCAAAGTACTTCTTTTGTGTGTCCCGGGTAAAGTTGATAGGAGCATATGCTCCCAAACAACTTTGAGTGGAGTCGTTCGAAAAGAAGTTTCTATGGCCCCCTTGCTCATTTAACACTGCATCCGGGTGCCGATGGAGATACAGCGACCCTTGCTCACTTATCACTGTGCTCGGGCCACACAGCGCGCCACTTACGGGTGACGCCCTAGCTTTAGCGCGATTTTGTTCTGGATTCATTTTCATAAGGATTCGACGTGATCATGGAGTGCCGGCTGTCGACTACCTGACGCCCTCCCCCTCCTCCTTTATCCGGGCTTGGGACCGGCCATGTAAGACATAGGCGGAGTTCAAAAAGTGTATATACCAAAATACAAAATATGGTGAAGAGTAAAGTTCCGTTGACAAAATCACTGGAAAAGGACCTTGAATTGTCAAATGTCAGATTATTGTAGTTTGCATAACCAACTTACTTGTGTTCAGATTCATCCTGTATGAATGCGTGAAGTGCTTCGACAGCCAATGAGAATGACATAAACAAAAGAAACAGCTGTCTACATGTGCAGCAGAATCAAAACAAAGTCCATGTATTAGCCGAGAGGAAATATGAAAGAAACAAATCCAATAGCTATGATCAAACAAAAAGAAAAGGGACGGCAATCTCATCTAATGCAACAAGTTGAGATACATAAAAGATGTAACAAAAGTGAAAACATATATAGACATCAAGTTTACATCTAAAAGTGGCTATGGAAACAACCTAGTCAAATAAAACATAATGGCACTTGGATTGCAAGTAGTTCCCAAGAAAATGTAAAATGAGAATCGACAGAAATTTGATTTTAACTATATGGACTGTTCTCAAATCAATGCCATGTCCGTTGTAAGACACAAGTAATTTCCACAGGACACCAAAAGTAAAAGAATCAAAGTGTCTCAAAATACGCAAAGCTTCCTAATTTATTAGGAAAGCCGAAAGCGGGTAAAATTGCCATAATATGGGAAATGTGAAATACTTACAGCATTGGTAAAAGCAGACAAAACTTCAAGCCTTTTATACCTGATTAAACGAATAAAAACAAGTCATTAGATACACATTATTCTCAATCCAAATTATGCCCAAAGACATTAATACTCCAGCCATCTTACTAACAATCTTACCCATAAGTGTAAATTCCATCCGGTTTCTTTCGAGAAGCCGCCATAGCGAACAATGAAAACGTTAATAAGCCACAACCAAAACTTAAATGAAAGGAATCCGACACTAAACCTGAAAACGAACCAAAATAACAATTCAACCAAAATTCGAGCAATAACATCGCAAATTTCATATAAATTTAGGCAATTAATGGCGACTTACGAACCTATACGTCCTGTGAAGAGTCCAATAAATAACTCTGCTGTCGAATACGCCACATTAAGCGAAATCAATAAGAACAACCTCTTCATATACCGGTTTCCGGACCTCAAGATCCGAAACACCGATTCGAAAAGCACCAAAACCGACAATTTCTCGGCCGAAACGCTCCGGTCCCCGAAAAGCTCGTCGCTTTCCTCCGTCAAATACGCCCCCGGCGGAACGTCGATGCTCGACACGCTCCGGAAGAGAAACGGCGTGGCCTCGGAGTCGTCGAAATTGATGGAGACAGGCGTGTGCGGTGGTTCGCGGTACTGCTGGAACGAGGCTTGGCGGGAAAACGCCAATCTCCGATCGGTGGCGCCGAGTCCGAAATCCGCGCTCCATGGATTCTGGTTGCCTTTGAATGAATTGGATTTGTCCATGAAGAATGATCGGGAGTCTGATTGGATTGAATGGTTACGGTTTAGATTGAAAGGATCGAAGTCGGAGATTCATACTCATTAGGAAACCCTAATTTCCAATTAGGGCCAGAAGAAGACTGAAGGTCAAGTAAGAGCAGCTCCAGCGGGAGCAATTGCTCAATGGACAGGCCTCAGCACAGGGCCTGATTGCCCGAGGGAGGAAGTCCAGCGTTGGCTGGCGAGGGAGCCCGAGCAGGCCAAGCGCCAGGCCCGTGGATTCGTGCCGCCCGAGTACTTGAGGTTAGACATGTAAACGGGTTGGGTTTATTGAGTTTGGATCAGGTTTAATTCGACCTGTTAAGTTAACGGGTCATCCGAACCCGATCCGTTAAGCTAACGGGTCACCCGTTAACAATTATTATTTTTTTTTTTTTGCATAAAGTTTATTTTTTGTTATTAAGACTTTACTAAAATTACTAAAATATCCTCAACTAACGGGTGCTAACGGGTGTTAACGGGTTGACCCAAAGTAACCCATTATTTAACAGGTTATTAACGGATTCACCCGTTAGCAACCCGACCCGTTAAGCATCCACCCAAATACAAATATTAACGGGTTGGGTCTGGTCGGGTTAACGGGTTGGGTCTAAAATGCCAGGCCTACTTGAGGTGAGTCCGACGCCAGCTGATGTCAGACGCTTGTTTTAGTTTTTTTTTCTACCAGGCATGTGGCGTTCAAGCGCGAGTGGGCGTGCATCAGGGAATAGAAAGTCTGAAAAAAGGGTCCTACAGAGCACTAATTTTTTGTTACCATTGGGGAGCCACGTGGCTTCCCCACACCCTTTGGATTTCAACAGTTACAAATTGTGGACCGTTGGATTTCCAACGGTAATAAAAATTTAAAAACCTTATTTAATATCAGTTGTTGGATCTGAGATCAACGGTACACATTATTCGACTTTAAAAATAAATAAATAAAGAAAAAACAGTTAAAAAATCATAAATGTTACCGTTGTGCCACGTGGCACAATCTGGAGTGTTGGAATTCAAATTTGTTTAAATCCAATGGTATAGATTAATTAGGTGAATAAAAAAATTAAAAATGAAAAAAATTATTAAAAATCCAAAAAAAAAATTGAAAAATTAAAAAAAAATGATTTTACTTTTCTATAAATACCTTCTCATTATCTTCTACCTTACACAACAATTTCATATTTTCTCAACTACTTTCAACCACATTCCTATCTTTCTCTCAAAGTTTCAATCCAATTTTTTTTCCAACAAAATGACTACTGATGCAAGTACGAATTGGACGCTTTTTGAAGATGTTGCATTGTGTACTAGCTGGGTTGAAGTTACTCATGATCCGATTACCTGTAATGAGATGCAGTTGAGAGAAATGTGGAGTCTTATTCATACCAGTTTTCTTGAGAAAATTGGTGGGAAAAGAACCAAATAATCGATATCCAGTCGTTGGAAATTATTTAGCCAATCGTTTAGTACGTGGAGAGACACATTGGCACAAACTAGTGGTAATCTTCGAAGTGGGGAAAATTTAACGGATCAGGTAACAATATATTATTTATTTATTTGTTTGTTTGTTTGTATTATTTATTTGTTAGCTACTTTGATTATAATTATTTGTTTGTATTATTTATTTGTTACCTACTTTCATTATAATTATTTCTTCTCCCGCATTGTGTAGTAACTTCAAGTACAAGCTTGGTATAATGGTAAAACCAAAAGCAAAAACAAATCATTCACCCACTGGGTATGTTGGAATATTTTCAAAATTGTCCTAAATTCAGAGTTGTGCATGTCGGTCTAGAAGTTTTCACGAACAGCACCCCTTTACACTCTACACCCGATCATTCAACCGGTAGGCATGTTCATGAAGATGACACAGAAGAAGTGCCCGAAACGCCCCCTAAACAAGTGTCGGGGTCGACCCGTTATCCAATTAGGCCTCAAGGTAAGAAGGCTTCAAAGAGAAAATGAAATGCTTCCAAGAATGATTATGCAAAGTATATGGAAGAACTTGCTCGCCCAGGTGAATTGAGTTTGGCTCGGGAAATGGTGAAATTTGAGGCTGATAAGGCTAGAGATGAGGCAAAAGCTGCAGCTGTTGAGAGAGCATTTCTAGCTAATGAGAGAGAAAGATAGCTACTTAGGCAAGAAAGGGAACATGTTAAAGAAGAATGAATGGCTCAACGAGATTGTGACATTATGAACACGCATTTAGAAGGGAAGTCTCCAAATTCTAAACATTTTTGGAAGTCGGAGAAAGAGGATGTGGTTCGAAGGAGGCATGCAAGAGAAGTGAGAGCAAGAGGAGATGGTCCTAGCATGACAAGAGAAGATCATCCTAGCACCACAAGAGAAGATCATCCTAGTACCACAAATTGGTTAAGTGATGATGAATAGAGTATTTTGGGTTGTAATTTATTATTTACTAAATAGAGTATTTTATGTTGTTTCCAATTTATTGAACTTAGTACTTTATTTAAAGTGAGAGTAAATTTATTTAATTTGGTAATTTCTTTATATTAGGAGAATCTTTATTCTAATGACATAAACACACCAAATAAAATTACATAAACATACCAAATAAAAAAAAACTCAAATGAACTAAAAAAAACACACCAAATAAAATTAAATAAACACACCAAATAAAAACAAACACACTAAATGAACTTAAGTACTTGAGCTTGTTTCAATTGCCACTGGTGCTCTATCAAGTCAATTTGTCGAGCATTATGCATATATGGCCCTTGAAGTGCAGTATATCGTTGAACGAGTCTTTCATTGTAACGTCCATCCATTTCTAATGGCTCATGTTGCACGAGTTCTTCGATGGCGTCATGAGCACAATATATTTGTGTTTTGGAATTGTTCATCGTGTCTGGCTTATATTCATCAACGGCATCATAATCGTACTCATCTTCCATAATCATGTTGTGAAGAATGATGCACGTCATCATGATGGATCGAAACGACTCTACATCAAACATTCTGGTAGCACCCCTGACAATCGCCCATCGAGCTTGGAGGATACCAAAACAACACTCCACATCCTTCCTGCACCCCTCTTAACAGCTTGCAAAGTGTTTTTCCTTTGCACTTTTCGGACGTGGCACTGTTTTGACAAACGTTGACCACGTTGGGTAAATACCGTATGCTAGGTAGTATGGTCCGTCATACTTACGTCTGTTGACCCAGTACGTGACTTTTGGTGTTTTTCCTTGCAGGACATCGTTGAACACTAGGGATGGGTAAGGACATTGAGGTTATTTTGAGCTCCCGGAATCCTAAAAAATGCATGCCAAATCCATGTATCAAAAGATGACACCGCCTCCAAAATGATACTTTTTGCTCCTTTTCTATCCCCATAAGCGCCTTGCTATGCACTTGGACAATTTTTCCAAGTCCAATGCATACAGTCGATGCTTCCAATCATCCCATGAAAACCTCGCATCTCGCCCTTCTTCAGAAATCATTGCAAGTCCATGTGAGTAGGTTTTCGGAGGTACTATGCAGTGTATATAGATTCGATTGCTCCGCAAAACCTCATAAAGGACTCAAGAATGATTGATTTCTCCATCCTCACTATCTCATCCACTTGGTCTACATATGCTCCATATGCAAACATCCGCAATGCAGTAGTAATTTTTTGCTCAGGAATGAGACCCATAGCACCAAAAGCATCTTTCTTTTGCACAAAGTAAAAATCATGGTAGCAAACAGCAATCATGATTTTGTTGAACAAATGTCGTTCCATTCTAAAATGACGTCTAAAGTACATACCAAGGAATGCATTACTATGGACAAAATAATCATCCAAGAGATATGTACCTCGTCGTTGCCTGCTTCTATCAAGGTTTACGGAACGGCTGGGCCTGCAGATCTGACCCACAGCTTAGATGACTCGACAAGAATGTGAGGCTCTGCCCATTCTTGCTTTATCATCTCTCCTTCTACGCTCCTCATCATCTTCCATCTCATTTTGGGCCACCTAAAGATGGAACATTCCTTCTGATCGGTTAAACAATTATTTCTCTTACTGATCGATTTCCCACATCATCCTTGAAGAAGAAGACATTGTAAGAAGAAAGCATAAACTATGAATAATGATACAAATTTTGATTTTGGTGAAAAAGGAAGTGAAAACTAGGAATAATGATAGAGATCTTGAGAAAATTGGTGTGAGATTTCAGAAATGGATGGTGGATTATATGGAGGATTCATAAAGGATTAGGTTGTAGATAGTGCCACGTGGCATGCCGTCATTCGTTAAAAATCTAATCGAAATTTATCCTCAAAGATTATGAAAAGGTAACGACACGTGGCACAACGGCATTTGATAAAAATCTTATCGAAATTCATCACCAATAATTATCTTTTTTTATAATGACACGTGGCGCAATAAAAACGATTTAAAATCTGATCGAAATCTATCCTCAAATATTCTGAAAAGGTAACGACATGTGGCACGACGACATTGGATAAAAATCTTATCAAAATCCATCACCAATAATTGTCTTTTTGGATAATGATACGTGGTGCAACGAAAAAGTTTAAATAATTTATCCGAAATTACAAATAAAATTATTTTGTATTATTTAAAAAAAAAACTAATATTTTATTGTCTATTGTCAGGGCTATTCAAGTGCAACAGTGGAGATGCAAAAGGCAGTTACTGTTCATTGGGTGGATTAAATAGTGAATAGACTGGGGGGAGGTTTCCCAAGGTGGAGTTGCTCTAAAGTGACCTTTAGGTTGAAGAAGTCGACTTGTTCAAAGTATGTGGGGTCCGGGTTTTTGTGGAATTTGTCTGCCGTCTGATATGTGATCAACGATCTATGTGAGAGAATCATATGGTCTTGGTTGTGATTTTTGATTAAATATGGAACACCAAATTTTTTAAATTAAATTTGCAAATCAAATGATGTAGTTGTTAATTATTAGATTATTATTTAAGTGTTGATTAACGTGCTTATTTCCTATTGGTAGATAAATTTTTAGTTGTGACGAGAACAAGAATGGTACATTACGTGTTTCTATGGAAGTGGTGGAAAATTTTAATTTTTAAGTTATTAACCTTTTAACAGACATAACCCACCATTTATATAGGGACACGTTGTGTACCACCTCGTGTGACGGTCACATTGAAAAATCTCTCCTATTGATAACACATTATTTGATTTGCAAATTTGGTTTCCCGTAGCATTATCCTTAAATT